ATTCTTCTTCAATACGCATTTGTCCAAGTGATAATGATAAATCAAATGTTTCAACAGATATTATTGAAGACAATGCTTCATCACGATGTAGAATTAATTCAGCTAATGACAAAAAAAAAATGATTAAAATTTATTTTTTTCAAGAATGTTGTTACGTATCCAAAAATAATACAATATGGTATCACCTATCAGTTATGATTCTTCTGACTAAGGAATCGTTCTAACTGTTATCCACCGTTTGAGCTTACAAGCATAGTTTGCTAAGATTAGTGACAGTCAAAAAAGATTTGCCCTATAAACCTTTCAAAAGCAAGTTATGATCGTTTTACCGAATTTTTAACCCACTTTTAGATATATAGAGAAATATATAAAAAAAAAGAATTCTGTCGATGCATAGGTTTAATAACCAGTAGAATATTCTAAAAGTTGCAGCCTATCAAAGTGTTGTTATGTTGAGATATAAAATTTTCAAGAAATTCTCTTATACAGTTCAGCAGTTTCAAAAAAAATGAAATCGAGAACCGAATCGGAACCATTCTTTCTCATTTTTTAATAACCAAAGTCTTCGAATTTTATTCATTTGAAACAGACATGTAACAAAAAACAAACAGTTCACTTGAAAACTCAATACCTCGACAAAAAAGACATTTTTGTCGACTGAAACTTTCGAGATATTTTAACAATCATTCGATCTATCTATGGGTGAAATTTCACGTTGAAAATTCATCAAAACGATTGTTATTAGACTGAAAAGGTCAATGAGGACGAATTATTTTTTAGACTTTTGCTAGTTTCATCAACGCATCCTCGTAGGTTGATTAAGAGCTCAAATGATAGACATTAATTCGGATGGTTCCCTCGTGAGTAGTTCGATATCAAGAATAAAATGTCTTTCGGGAGATGCATCAACTTGAAAATCATCTATACTGAAGACAAGATTATCTTTCTTATGATGTACATTTTGGATATTGTGAATTTATCATTTTTTTTCATACCTCCATTATCAGCTAATTTAATAACAAGTAAAGAACCATCTTGCATTCTGACGGTAACTAATTGTGTATGTTTAACAATTGAATATGCAATGTATTCAATTCCACCCATATTTTCTGGAAGTAAAATTGAATATGAACGTGTATTTGACAAAGTTTGTTCATTTATATTTGAAACATAAAAATTAAGTTTTTGTTCATTGGCTAATGCTTCAAGAATTTGTTGACCAGCAAGATTTTTTTCTGTAATAACACTATAAAAACCATTAGATTTTATTTGAATATTTAATTCATGAAATTCCCATTCTATTGTGGATTCTTTTTTATTAAATTGATAAATTTTTGTTTCCAAATTTTCCATTTTTATTGATAAAATTGTATTTGTATTACTTTCATATAAAACACGTACTTGTTCGATTTTATTTGGAACTTTTAGATTACTAGTAATTATATTTGTATCATCCATCGTTGTGGGAATTGTAATTATTGAAAGTTCATTATTATTTGAACATACAATTAGATTATTCGTTGTTATACATTTACTATTTCAAAAAAAAAAAAATGAATAAAATTCATATTATGTTTTGGTTTTAGGAGTTATTCACATATTTACATGATGACTAGAGAGAAAAAAGAGATTACTAGATATGATGACATTATTATTAGTTATATGAAATTATGTTTTTCTTAAATAAAGAAAGTGCTAATGATACGATCTTTTGTGTGATAAAATGTAGAAATTTTGTTATGTATTTTGTGTATGTAATAATGTACCAGAGTGCTTGCTCAAACAATACACATTTCTTATTTAAATAGTATCATAGTTCTGAGGTTTACTCTTTGTTGTTCTTTTTTACATTTTCTTGTGTTAGTTTTATTCCTATTTGAGAGTGTTCGATTCATATATTGATTTAGTCTATCTTATGTTATAACTTCTATTCCTAAATAAAACAAATAAACGGAAAAGAAAATTTAGAGATAAACTTTGCCTTTTCATACCAATTTCAAACTTCATAAGAACACACTTATAGAAGAGACTAAATAAAGTATTTACAAATTATTCTGATGACGTTATGAGAAAGAGTATCCAAAAATCAAGAAAAATTGATCATGTAACAAAGGTCTTAATGACCTAGATACAAGAACGAAGTCGTCTTTTCTTAAAACATAGTCCACTTATGGGTCACTTATATAATTGAATTCAATAAATTATTAACATATCAATTAACAAATATATTTCAAGTACCAATAATTGATGTATAAACAAACGTTCGGTAGCTTATTTAACAATTTGAAAAAACTTCAATTATCCCGAATTTACCGACATTTTTTGTTTTTTTTTTCGTTGGAAAACCACAAACCTTTCCATATGAAGATATGCTTGTTTCATATGTGATGATGAATTAGCACTGGTAGTTGAAGAGAAGCGATAAGAAAAATGATGATTGAAAAGAGGAATAGATTAGAATTAGCAAAAGAAATTAATGATTAAAGAGAAGAATTAGGTAAGAAAATTTTGCTAAATACAAAGAAAGATTTTTTTAAATGACGACATTTTCTTTTTCTTTATATATATGCTGTTCATCGTAGAAATGTTTTAGTTAATGGAAAAATTACATAAAACTTTCGAAAATAAAAATTTAGTATAAATACGCAACATCTTTTGACAATTTTATATTTTATTGGAAGTTTGGCTCATGAGATTGGTCAGACTCAGTCCGTCGAGTTCGGCGTGTCGAAACATGTGAACGAGCTCTCAATGAAAAGTAAAAAATTTTTAAAAATCTTACTTTCGGCTATCATCAAAATTAAATGACCATGGCATTGATGAAGAAAATGATTGAGCACCATTTTGTTTTGAATAATAAGTTATTTGAAGTTGATTTATATTTGAATCAATACTTCCAACAATAACATGTTGTGATGTTGATAGAAGAAAAAGATTTTTTAAAGTTGATCTTTAAGAAAAAAAAAAATATATTAATTTTATATTAAGATTAAAATTAAATATTCACTTTGTTGGAAGTGTAATGGACCAGAGCATTTCACCATAGGATGATACACTCCATAGAAGATCATTACTTAGAATATGAATTGTACCTAAAAATAGAAATAAGATCATCAACGATAGATATCAATTATTTTGTTATCGACATATTCTGAGATATGAAATTAATTGTAAATTTATAATTTGACCTTTTACAATGAAACAAATCTTTCTTATCATCTGATTAGATTCGTTTAATAATGATTGCTATAACTATATAGAATGTGTTAAATGATGCGTTTAGCGACAAAAGGAGAATTTTTTCAACTGGAAAAAATTGATTGTCATGTTTCAAAAACTAATTATCTGGAAATATTTAATCAAATTGTAATAATGTATTTTTGGTCTTAATGAATTGATCATATAAGAAAATTAAAGTTTTATTATTTAAAATTTTAAAATACTTTCTTAATAATTATTAAATTTCATTGTTTTCTATGTTTCAATAGTGCAATATAGGAAAAATAATATGCACTTAAACAATTAACTAATTAAACTGTATATAATAATCAACAAGGTTAATCAGAATTAATCAGAAATATTATGTTGATATGAATAATAAAAATGATAAAATTTTACCTGGGTCAAATCGATTTTTAATTACTTGACAATATTTAAAATTCGAATCTTGATTTGAATTAGTAGTTGATGTTGCTGCCAATTGCCATACTTCCAGACCATCAGCATATCTTAATGCACGTACACGTCTACCTTGTCCTGTAACAATAACACTTTCTTGATCATACCAAATAATTCGATCAATTTTTCCATATTCATTAGCTTCAAAAACTTTTCGCCATCCTAGAAAATAACATTCAATCACATTATGAGAAAATGAGTAATTCATATTATTTTCGTCACGCATCAAAGTCGATTTTTTCATATTCTTCACCCTCGCCACCTACGAACATTGAATATTCATAGATTATTCACTTATTTTCGTATATAAAAACTAAGCATCTATCAACGTTAATGATAGTTACAAAATAACGATAAAAACAAATATAACAAATCATCGATGGATCGAGTTGTTACAAAAACCGTAGATGCTTTAACACGATTTGGTGAGCGTATCGAACGACGTTTATCGACTGGTGATGATGATGAATGTGGTTATGAAAGATCGGGATCAGGTTATATGCGTTCGAATTCTGGATCAGCATTTCATCGACCATATGATGGCAAACATCATAAAGATTTTTATTCATCAAATCAACATGATTTATCTTATGGTTATGGAGGAAATTTTTTTGCGGATAATTTAGCTGCTAGTCCTGGAGCACATAGCAGCTTTAGTAATTATCGACAAGGTCCAATGGGTAATCCATATGCTGATGGTATGGTGAGACCACCTTATGGAGCTGGAATGGCTGGTTCTATGAATTATGGTTATGGAGGAGCCTACCCTGGTCCAGCACCACCTGTACCATATGGTGGTGTTCCTGGTAGTGTAGGATATGCTCCAGATTATTATATTGCTGAACGACGACACATTGATTTAGTTCCTGCTCCACCACCACGCTATATTCGACAACCAGTTCCTGTTCCTGTTCCCGTCGATCGTCCTGTACCTCAACCATATCCTGTTGAAGTACCTAGACCAGTACCGGTTGATCGACCTGTACCTGTGCCAGTTCCATCGCCGGTTCCTTTCGATCGACCAGTACCTGTTCCTGTACCAGTAGCAGTTCCTTCACCACCAGTTCATGTCCCGGTCCCAGTTCCAGTTCCTTCACCAGTTCCATGCTATGTACCTGTTGGTGTTCCTGTTCCATCACCTCCTCCTAGTCCTGCTATGGTCGAAAATTCAGTTACTTATAGTCAACGTTGGCTTACTGGTTCACCTGTAATGATGAATCAACAACGTTATCTTGCTGGTTCACCAGTCATGGGCATGAATCCATGTGTTACACCTTATGGCAATGGTCCCTTTATGCGTTAAATAACATTTTGTTTTCTTTTTAATTGTAAAATGTTTTTCTCTGTACTCTTTTTCTTTATTAAAAAAATTAAATAACAGAAATAGATAATTACCAATTTTTCGTGCAGATAAATCGAGTGAAGCAATAACATTATCTTGACTGGAAACAATCAAACGATTTGTACTACCAGAAGGTTGATGAGAATCATCTATGAAACCAACATGTTGACGGTGCCTAAAAAAACAAGTAGAAAATTAAAAAAAAAATAAATTACGACTATCCCTATGAGAATTTCATAACAATCAAATTCTGAAATGTCGTCATAATTATCTTAACAATAAAAGAAAACGCTATTCCCTGTAGATGTTCTTTTCAATCAGTTTCTTAATTTAGCAACTGTTTCGAGTACATCGTGATTTTAAATAGATATTAATAATGGTAACATTTTATTTTCTCCTATTAGAAAAAGACTTATAAAATATAAATTTTGAAGGCGAATACACTAAATCTATTGTAATTCATATTCTATGTTATCACTTTCACTTCATTAAATTTACATGATTCTTAGTTATTATCGATTCTATAATAATATATCACGTATTTATGAACTGAAATTTTTATCCTAATCTATTTTTGACTATCTTTTTTTTTCTGATCTTCATTATTGTAAGAATGGCAAGGCAATGAAAGAGACTCATTAATGAATCATATTTCGTTATTTATAGAAAAAAACTATCAATATTCCATTTTGTTAAACGAAAAGAAGAAAAGATTTTCTTTTTTTTACTTACCAATCAAATTTGCCTACTTGATCTTCAAATAAACTGTTGACTCTATGTGGCACTAATATTATTGCCCAAATAAATATGACTAGAGAATTAATCAATAATTGCATCTAGAAGATTATTACTAAAATGTAAATGACAAAAAAAGAACAATCAATCTAGTTTTTTTTTCTATGAATTTTCTTTCTGCGATTTTATTTGTTTTAAATTCGAACAAAGTTCGCAAAAAAACCAACGATGGAACAAATTTCTTCTTTTTTTTTTGTTTTTTTAATTCATATGTTGCTGTTATTATGTGCTTTTGCCTTTTGGTTTAATTTCTTTTACATTAAGACCAGGTGGCAATGATTGTTTGACTTTTTCAGCTTTTTCTTTATCGGTGACGATTACTAAAAAGATCAAGTATGAAAATAAATAAAATTACTAATTAATAAAAAGATCATTAATAAAACATACATGTATATAAGTAACGGCTGCATCGTACTTTGAATTTTGTATTTCCTTGTCGTGTACCATGTTCAGGATTACGTTTAATAATCACCGATTTAGCATCTTTACGTCGAGCAATGAGTAAGAAATCTTTGATATCTTTGATTTCTTTAGGCATATTGATGGTTCAAATATGAGATGAATGGAAATTCTAAAAAATAAAATATAGATAAATTATTGATTCCTTTTCTAGTAATAATCAAACTAAAATATGGACAATTAAATAATAAACAAGTCGATATGATATCCATATTTAACCTAATAAAAAAGAAAACATTCAAATCTCATCAGAATAAACTATCTATTTATATAAAACGTTAAAGTTTCTTTTTTTTTTGTCAAAAAATTTATTTTAAATTATTTTATTAAATAATTACTCAAAAAAAATAATAAAATGGATAAATAACATGTCGCTAATGACATTAAATAATGATTCGTTCTCATAATAACGTTTAGTATTGCTGAATGACTCATGTCAATTTAATCAATCAATCAAATCATATAAAGTTTTTTTTTTCTTGAAAAATAATCTTTTTTTTTGTGTTTTAGACACGATGAAGATAAAAATGTTATGTCGAAATCCAACAGATTATGTCCGTGAAACAAAAAAGGATATAGTACCAATTCAACGAAATTATGATCCAGATCTTCATCCATTTGAAGTAGCACGTGAATATACTCGTGCAATGAATGCTGTAAAAATGGAACGTATATTTGCTCGACCATTCATATGTAGTTTAGATGGACATCGTGATAGTGTACAATGTTTAGCAAAACATTCAACACAACTTTCATTACTTCTATCCGGTTCATGTGATGGAGAAGTAATTTAATATAATAATAAAAAAAAAGTTTGTTTTTGTTAAGTAGAAAACCTTTGATTTAGATTAAAATTTGGAATGTTGCTCAAAGAACATGTCAAGGAACAATACCAGCACATAATGGATTTGTTAGAGGTATATGTGTTATACCTGATGGTACTGCTTTTTATTCAGTTGGTAATGATAAATTAATCAAACGATGGTCAATGAATAATTATGATACACCAGCAATGACAATTGTTGGAAAAGTATATTGAAATATTGAGATTTTTAAATGAATGAATGAATCTGAGTTTCTTTCTAGCATGTATTTACATCAATTGATCATCATTATAAAAATGCACAATATGCTACTAGTGGTGAAAGTGTATCATTATGGGATGAACAACGTGCACAACCTCTTCAATCGTTTAAATGGGGTGCTGATAGTCATGCTAGAGTAAAATTTAATCCAATTGAAGTACGTTGAAAATTATAAAAAAAAACATTTTTATAGAGTTTTTAATGTCATTTGTGATACTTCTACAGTTTAGTCACATTGTTATAGTCAATTAATAAGTTTCATGTAGCAATTTTAATAATAATGAAAATAATAATGTGAATAAATTGAAGTAGTACCGTATATCGTAAATAAAAAAAAAATTACTGTTAACTAATTTGTTTGCTTTGATTTAGACTACTGTTCTTGCCAGTTGTGCTACCGATCGAAGTATAATTCTTTATGATACAAGACAATCTGTACCATTACGAAAAGTAAGAAGAATAAAAATATTTCTACTAATAAATGATTAAACTTTTTATTTTTGTTTCTAGATAATACTTCAAATGAATTCTAGCACACTTTCCTGGAATCCACTTGAAGCATTTGTATTCACAACAGCTAATGAAGATTATAAGTATATATTATTTTGTTAATTATTATAAATTTTTACTTATTTTTTAAATATTTTCTAGTTTGTACAGTTTTGATATTCGTTATCTACAACGACCATTCAATATTCATAAAGATCATGTAGCAGCTGTTATTGATGTTGACTATGCTCCAACAGGCAAAGAATTTGTTAGTGGTAGTTATGATAAAACTGTTCGTATTTTTGCTGCTGACAAAGGACATAGTCGGTATGTATAAAACTTTTAATTCTTCTCTGTATAGCTGTTTTTTTTATTTTATAATTTTCAGAGATATTTATCATACAAAACGTATGCAACATATCAGTTGTGTTCAATGGACATTAGATAATAAATATGTCATATCAGGTTCAGATGAAATGTGTTTAAGATTATGGAAAGCTAAAGCAAGTGAAAAACTTGGTGTGGTAAGTTATTTATTTGAACTTTATCTATATAAGAAAATAAATATATTGATTATTAGATACGAGATCGTGAAGCAGAAACACTTGAATATAATGATGCATTAAAAGAAAAATTTGCACATTTTCCAAAAGTAAAACGTATTGCTCAACAACGTCACTTACCGAAACATGTTTATCATGCTAATCGTGAACATAAAACAATACGTGAAAGTCAAAAACGTCATGAAGCTAATGCACGTGCTAATAGCAAACCTGGTTCAATACCATTTGTCTCAGAACGATCGAAAATTATTTTAAAAGAAGAAGAATAAAAGCTTCGTTTTGTTTTTTTTTGTTTTGTATTAACAAAAAGATAAATAAACATCTAAACAATTATTTTACCGAATTAATTATTTCGGCATTAAACCAATAGAAGTATAGACCCGTTAGTATATGAGAAGATTGATTCGATGAAATTACAAACAAATGTCGAAAGAGAAGAAAAAAAGTGACATTTGTCTTATGAAAATTGTCTGGTAGTCGATTGAACAAGTGTAGGCATAAGATGTCTAATACACAATAAGACTACTACGACAAGGATAAAATTTGATCATAATAGTATACGTTATGAAAAAAAAAACTTTATTTTCGGATTTGATACTTGAAATCTTCAATACTTTATTTACTTTAAGCATCTGTACTGCTCATTTAATAACAGAAACTGTTGTGATCTTTATGATACGGTAGACTTTAGTCGAAGCAATTTTAAAATTTCATTACAATTCAGTGTTACATGACAGTTGGAAGTATCATCTATATATATATCCATGTTACTCGCAAGTATTGTCATCGTCGTATTTTTTCAAATGTAATTAAAGAAAAAAAAAAAATAATCATGTTTATTAATTTTAATCTTATACAAAAGAAAATAACAAATAAATTCTTTTGTTTGTTATTCAGTTTGTTCGTTATCTTTATCTTTATGTATTGCACTCCATACAAGAACAAATTCATCAGCCATATCATTAGTACCAGAATGTAGACTAGACATGCATATAAGTAACTTCGGATCATAAGTAAAATATTCGTGACAATGTAGTCCATTAAATGTAGTTGAATAAATATAATGTACGTCAACAAAACGTGCATGTTGAACCATAGCATGATCACGTAGAATACCAGTTATATAAGCATCACCAACACGTGTCACTGGATGTGGACGTTGTGCACTAGTACATAAATTATCACGACCAGCTTTTGTTAACAAATATCCAATACCAAATGTATATGGTGGATAATAAAAACCAGGATATTCTTCTTCTGTAACAAGATAACGTCCGTAACGATCAACACGTGATTTGTGTCTAAACCAACCATACATTATTGGTATTTCTGGTAATGATTCATTTTTCATAAATTCAGAAATAATACGAGTTAATAATGGTGTATTTAAATGAATATCTTCATCAACTTTAAATACATATTGTATATTTGAGCAATAATATTTACTCCAACATAATGTTGCTAATTCTTTATAAGATACAACAGGATAATTTTCTGGCATATTTATTTGTATAACATCTTATAATATAAAAAATTAAAAAAATTTTGAAATAAAGTTTTTTTTTTTTCTTTTAAAAATAGATCAAATTTACCATGATAAATTGTTTGTTCTAGTTCAATTTGTTTTAACATTCCATCATCAATACCAACTATAAATGTAAGACGTATTTCAATATCATTATAAGTTCTAGGAGCACCCCAAGTTGATCGAATGGCTTCGCGTATATGAACATTACTAGCACGTGATAATATTGCAATTAATAAAGTTTTCTTTGGATCAATATCAACACATGGATTAATATTTGGATTTTTATATTGAACACGTTGATGAACTTGATAAAATGGATGAAATCCATATGGATTATCATCGACTTCATCAGTTTCATAATTTTGTGATTGATTATTTAAAGTTTGATTAAGTATTGTTTCATGTAATGTTTTCGTAGGTGGTTCATATTTACAAAGTATGATACTAGCAATAAGTAATACGATAATAGTAGCTATTTTAAGATAATCAATTGCGATTAGTTTTGAACTTTGAATATATGAAAGGTTATTATGATGATACAGTTTTGTAGTAACATCTTTGCCAGTATCCAAATCATCTTGTTTACTAGAAAACGAATCGAGATTTTCCATGATGGCTTACTTTTCAATTCTATTATTATATTTATTGGATTAAAAGAGCATAAAATTATGCAAAATAAACAATATTTATATGACGAATATTTTGCCGTTAATTTATATTTTATTTTTGTGAATCTTTTGTATTAATGATAAAAGCAAATTTTTATCAACGATTGAATTGTTTGAAAAATTTGATATTGAAGTGTCGATATAAATTCAACTAATTTCTACCAACATTTGGCATTCATGTCAATTTAGAAGAAAATATAATTTCCTAATGATACATATGTAAATACAAACTTCTAAATATAAAAAATATTTTAAAAAGTCATTCAATATGTTTTATATTTTATAGTTACTCAATAACTGATCGATAGTGCAAGAATATGTAACTGTAAACTTACTTTGTGCTGTATTCACAGAATACAATAGGAAAAAGTCAAAGTAAAAAGTTATTTATTCAAGGTAACGGCAGATGCTTTTTCTCTCGTATACCTATACCGTTTGATCGTTGATATTATCTGATACAAAAAAGAGCAACGCATCAATGCATCACCCAATATGTAAAAATATGTATATATTTTTTTTTGTTTCTCTTCCTAATATGTAGGCATATTATTCGGTGATTTTTTTCCTTTTCTTTTTTCTTTCTGCCCAATAACATAACTGATACACTTAGTTTGATGAAGTTCATTATTATTGTTTTCAATATTGATAACCGATGACTTTTAATTATCGAAACATATGATATTTCTTTTTGTCTTGCTTTTGTTTGGTTGTCAAGTAAAAAAAAAAAAAATGAAAAAGATGAAAGA